GAGGTTTAGGTTGGATATTAGGAAAAACTTCTTCACCGAAAGGGTAGTCAGGCACTGGCACAGGCTGCCCAGGGCAGTGGTTGAGCCCCCATCCCTGGTGGTATTTAAAAGACGGGTAGATGCGGTGCTTAGGGACGTGGTTTAGTGGTGGACTTGGTAGTGTTAGGTTAACAGTTGGACTCCATGATCTTAAAGGTCTTTTCCAACCTAAATGATTCTATGAAGGGAAGAGACAGGAGCACTCATTCTGTTTACCATCAGGGTACAAGTCTGGCATTCTGAACTGCCCTCTGGAACTGCCTGCCTCTCTCCCCTGTACATATACAGAGCTTGAGTGCCTGTTATCATTACAAGCCCTGGTATGCGTCTGTTGGATGCCTGTAGAAGTTTTGGGTAGGTGGCACTAACATGCCCCTCAGCATCCTTGTATTTCAGAACAGCTGGTACACATCATACTTTAATACAGTACTAAGCCCAATCTATTCTGTCTTTCCACAGTGAGACAATGGCCAGAAGTATTTTCTCCTCAGCTGAATTCTTTAGTTACAAAACAAACTCACTACTTTGACTTCACCAACATTATGACATTTTGACTCTGTTCTGTTGGTGGCTTGGAATTTGAGAAGAGTAGTAATTGGGAAGGAGACAATTTAGAGACAATAATAAGGTTAGGCCTGAAAAAGAACTTTCCAACTCAGTCCTGTATAGATTTATATGTTGCAGGGAGAAATCAGCAGTTCATATAACCACCCAGGATAGATCTCCGTAAATTACTTCTTGTGGCACTATTCTCCTACATTTGTGGTTTCATAAAAAAATCGCCTTTTGTGACTGGTTGAACAAAATGGCACGTACACGCTCCTGTCACTGACAGCAATATCATTATTATTCAAAGTGTACACACTAAGGGGGAGTTGGGATTGTCACAACTGGGGCCTGGTTTCCTGGGTGCTCTCAGTAAGACTGTGTGAAATACATGGAGCAGTTCTGTGATCAGATAGAATAAATCAGGTAGGCTGTAGCGATGTTCACAAAACCATTCAGTATGTTTGCACTCAGGTCCCACTGCTGCGTATGGTAGATAAAACACACATGTCCATTGAAAATGAGAAACAGAGCTTTGTTCATTTAAGAGAGAATTGCTGTGTGTAGCGGAACCGGGTTCAACTGCCTATCTTTACATTCACAGATACTACAGAAATTGGTGATAACTCCTTTGACAAATGTGTTGTTTCAGCCACGACAGTCACAGACAGAATGCTGTACTTTAGTGCTTTAGGGGCTTACAGGTAATGAAACAAAATGATTTGTCACTTCACTGAAGCTGCATAAATTCAGTGGTAATTACTAAAATACAATTTACAATACAACCCTTAAATATTCAAAAAGTAGCAGAATGAGCCATTTTGCCACCATTTACAACAGAAAAGAGAAGATCTCCATCTGTTCAGGAATATTTTCATTAAATGAAATCCACATAGTTTTCTCAATACCTGATGATGCATTGCACAAAATTAAACAAACAAAAAAATCTCACCATGGCTGTAACACTGATCTGATTCAATCTTCAATTATTTGTAAGCAAAACTTAAAAGTACCCCAACAAGACTGCCAGAAAACCAGTTTCAAAGCTGAAACAGAACACTGAAATCGGAATGATCTTCAATGAAACATGGAACTTAAAAAAAAAAAATAGAAGAACCAA